GCTGCGCATAGCATAGGATAGAAGCCTAAGCAAGAATCTCCCCCCCCGCCCCCACAGCTTATACAGTTCTGTTTTGCAACACCTCCAGCTCACTTCCCATAACCAAATCCCCGCTCCTCCCCCCGTTACTTATGACAGCCGAAAGATGCAAAGCAAAGGGAGAAAATCTTGAAAATCTGACATTCGGCCCTCCTGCAAAAGAGACGTTAATCCTAGAAAAGATAAAAAATAGAAGGTAACAGAAAATATACAGGTAACACCATAATACTATTTTTTAGGGTTTATCGGGATATTTAGCACGAAACGCCTCGATAAGCTTAGGAGCTCTAACGTCCTTCCCGTTCACCCTTTCAGACTGGGAAGGAGGAAAACGTTTCCAAACAATCAAATATTGGAGTCAACCCCAAAGTCAACCTGGATTCCTTTTTCTGTCTGCAGGAGCAGATTCAAACAGCCAGCTATGAGCAGGCTGCGATGACCCAACGGGGCATGATACGAAGGCAGCACAGTCACATAAGTAAGAAAAGTCCCTTTGGTGTCTGCAACTTTGCCCCCAATGTCCAGGTTACCTTCAGTTGAAGAAAAAAACTCTCCCAAGAACAGTCTTTAAGCGGAGGAAATTCAGTCCAAAAACAAAGTACATATGAACTGTAAATAAAAATCCACACAAACCACACTGGAGTCATTAACTTGACAAGGCAGGAGAAGGAATTGCAGCCTTGAAAGCACAGCCGAATACACACACTTGGGAAGACGCCAGGAACCCAGGTAAGCCTTGATAATACCAGATAATTTATGATTTGCTCCCAACAGTTTGCTGTGTGCAACTTCTCTTTTTAAACGCTGTGTTCCCAACTGCAGCTAATGAAGGGAATCAGGGCCTTTTCCTCCCCCGTAAGCCATGCAACTCACGTTGCTCCCTTCTCCATTCCTCCCTGCGTGCCCTAGGATGAAGGGGGTGGGCCTGGATCTTCCTCCGAATTCCCACTCCCTTGCTCTGCTCAGCTGGACTTTGCCCTTCCCCAGTTTCTTCCACAGCCAATGGACTCCCACACTCCCTGTCAGCTGCTTGGCCTCCCCCTCCAAATCAGATTCCGACAGGGGCATGAAATGGGGCCTCTCTGTCCCTTGGGACCCCTGAGTGGAGCAGAGAAGACCCAGTCAGACTGAGGGTCTCAGGGGAGCCAGCCCAGCCCCTTCCCAGGATGACCACAGGAGCTGGCCTGGCCAGATCCTTCTTGTCTGCTGTTGCTAGGCAAGAGAGAGAGAAAGAGAGAGAGAGGGTGACGTGGACGCTTTTAGTCTCACCTGTTGCTGGCTTTGTTGATGCAGCTGCAACTTGAGCATTTGCTGCTGCTGCTGCTGCACCACCTGCATTTGCTGCTGTGCAACCGCTGCTGCTTGCTGCTGCTGCTGCTGCTGCACCTGGGCCTGGAACTGCTGTTGCTGCATTGCTGACTGCTGGGCCTGGAACTGCTGCTGCTGCTGCTGCAGGGCAGCCTGTTGCTGCTGCTGCTGGAACTGCTGCTGCTGCTGCTGCTGCTGTGCAGCCATCTGCTGCAGCTGGAGCTGGGCTGAGGAGACAATCACAAGGGTCCCCATGCTGAAAGCACCCCGAGACCCACTTTGGAGCGGAAAACCTCGGACTCTGCACACCTGGGACCCTCCGCCTGGGCTGCCGTCTCCTCCCTGGACCTCGCAGTTTTGGGGCTTCCCAGAGGTAGGGAGAACGCTTGGCGAGAGAAGCAGAGCTTTGAGGGTGATGGGCAAAGGGGCAGCCTCACTCCTCTGCTGCCACAGGGACACCTTTACTTCCCCCCCGGATGGTTGTCAGGTCCTTGTGCTTCACAACGAGGACAGTTATACTGGCAGGCTTAGCAGCTTTGCTTTCAGCGGTGCTCACAAAAGGGCTTCAATAACTATTCTTTATCGACAGAACCTCTGCCTATGTTCAGAGAGGGAGAGGTTGAAAAAAGATCCCTTGGCACTCCTGAAATGGCCCAGCATCCCTGGAAGGTGAAGCTAATCTCTCACCTAATAATGAATTACTCTCACTAATCCCAATTAGGTCCTCACTACTAAATAAGCAGAGCTTCTCCAGAAAGCAGCTCAACATGTTGCAGTAGAAACTGCAGTTAGACACCAAGGGATTTGAAATAACCTACATATGCTTAGCTTCTGCTACGAACAGTTCTTTTAAGCTAGACGCATATTTGAACTGGGTTTTTTTAACCCTGCAACTGCATTCAGGAATGTAAAACGAGAGAACGTACGTATAAAAAAATACCCTTCTCGGCCTTATGGGTGGTCTTGTCTTCCTCAGTCTCAGGGGTTTGGGGCTTTCAAGGCTCTCTGCAGGATCTTAGGAGTCACTGCCCCAAAGTGCTCCTGTGGCCACTTACGCCCTGACTTTCCACACCCTCTCCAGTTCCTCCTTCAGGCCTTGGTCCATCTTTCTGAGGTTGCTACTACTTGGCACTGCTGCATCTGTCACCTCCGCTGCCTTCTGGTCTACTAGCAGGCTCGTACTTGTCTGCCTGCCTGGATCTGGTAGTCCCACAGGATCCCGGCCTTCTTGTTTTACACAAGCTCCTGTGGGATCTCCATCCAGACTCGGGAAAGACTAGCCTATATTCCATACAGATGTTTCAGCTTTTTATTGCTCTCTGGGATTCACTTCGTATTTCATATTCAAGTGACCAACCGTTGTAAGTCAAGCTATTATTTTTTTAATGGGCAGCTTTCTGGGACATTAGCCTCCCTGTCTTTACAAATGCAAAGGAGATTCTCATCCTGGAAGTGGCAGCTCTCTGGACAATGGAAAAACAAAATCAAAAGGAGGAGACAACAGCTATGAAGAAGAAGGCGCAAGCGGGCAGGGAGTCTGAACCAATGGAATAAAAGCCCCTCTTCCCTCACTCTATTTGACTAACTTACATGTACTCGCTACTAGGGCGGATGAAATGAATTTAAACAGATGCAACTCGGATTTTTACAACTCAGCAGCTCTCTGTTTCACAGAAACCTGTCTAAATGAGTCAATTGATGATAGCGGCTTGCCCATCCCAGGGTTGCAGATGCAGAGGGCAGACAGAATTGCAGAAGCATCTGGTAAAAAGAAGGGAGGGGGGGGTGTCTCTGCTTTTATATCAACCACCGGTGGGGTAAAAATGTAACTAAAGAAATTCTGCGATGTGTGATATGGGCATTAATCATCAATTGCAACCCTTTTTAATTCTCCATGAGAGTTTTCCACATTTATTCTATTTGCAAGGTACGTTCCTCAACAAGCTTGCATAAACAATGCATTAACAAACTCTAGCTGACCAGATTATCTGGGCTTGAGAGATACCCAGACTCGCTCCTCATTGCATTAGATTTCAGCAGTACTAACTTAAGCCAAGATACTTTCAGCATGTCAACTGTCTTACTAGAGGCAAGTATATTTTAGATCACTGCTATGCAACGTTAAAAGAGGCTTATGGGTCTTCACCATGAGCAGCTGTGGACACCCTGGTCATTATACAAATCACCCTGTACCTGTTTATAGACGAAACCATAAAACCATCAATTAAATCAGTCAAGTTTTGGACTGAGGAGGCATAGTTAAAGCTGCAGGCTTGCCTAGACTGCACAGATTGGAACCTTTTTCCAAGATACCTCTGCAGACTTGGATGAACTCACAGATACTGCAACATCTTATGTCAGTTTTTGTGAAGACCTACGTGTGCTGGCCAGAAACCTGCAAATACACAGTAACAACAAGCATCGGTTCACAGCTAAACTCAAGCAGCAAGATCGTGCTAAAGAGGAAGCCTATAGGAAAGGAGAGAGAATGCTCCACGATCAGGCCAGGATGTATTCACAAGGGAGATCAGAAGAAAGAAGCTACTCTGAAAGGCTGAGGAATCAGCTCTCAACAAAGGAACCAGCAAAATGTGTGTGTGTGTTGGGGGGCAGGGGGGATATTACTAGTTACAGCAAACCTCCTTCCCATGCTGAAGGGAATCAACAACTGGCAGATGACCTGAATGTGTTTTACTGTAGGTTTGAGAGGAAACCACTTGTCACCTATCTCCATCTCAGATACATGAACAATAGCCAAGCTTACAACTGACCCTAACCCTTTGATGCCCCCCTCCCCACACCTCTGGTGATCACAGAAAAAAAGATGTGTGAGATCTATTGCACAGACAAAGCCCTGGAAAAGCACCAGGTCCAGTCAAGGTAAGTCATCCTTACTTGAAAGCTTGTGCTGACCAACTGGCCCCCATCTTCACTGGTATCTTTAATAAATCACTAGAGATATGCTATGTTTCTTCTTGCTTCAAATGCTCTGCTACCATCCAGGTGCCAAAGAAACCCTCCATCAAGGAGCTGAACAACCACAGACCATAGTTATGAAAACCTTTGAAAGGCTAGTGCTGGCCCACCAGAAAACCATCGTGGATCTACTGTTAAGACCCCTTGCAATTTGCCTACTGAGCGAATGGATGATGTTACTATGGCTCTGCACTGCATCCTACAACATCTTCGGTCTCCAAGGATCTATACAAGGGTCCTTTTGGTTGACTTCGGCTCGGCATTCAATGCCATCATTCCAGATATTCTTGTAAACTAAACCGATTAGCTAGCCATGCCGGACCACACTTACAAGTGGGTCATAAATTTTGTAACCGATAGGAAGCAGCAAGTGAAGTTAGGCAAAAATCACATCACAGAGAATTAGCACGGGGGTGGGGCAGGATTGTGTGCTCTCCCCCACTTCTCTCTCTATACCAACGACTGTGTCTCAAATGATCCCTCTGTTAAAGTACTCAAGTTTGTAGATGATACAACAGTCAATGGTCTCATTCAAAACAACAATGAATCTGCATATAGACAGGAAATGGAAGAACTAGCCTTATGGTGTGTCCGGAACAATCTTGAACTGAACACACTCAAAACACTAGAAAGTTAGTTTTTGGGAGAAGTCCTCCTGTTCTACCACCTCTTACAATTCTACAGACGGTATCAGCAGTAGACACCTTCAAGTTTTTAGGTTCTATAATATCTCAAGACTTAAAATGGACACCTGACGTCAAATATGTCATCAACAAAGCACAACAAATAACGTTCTTCCTGCACCAACTCAGGAAGCTCAGACTGCCCAAGGAGCTGCTGATAGAGGAATTATGGAGTCTGTCACCTGCACCTCTAGGTCTAGTTTGGCACAGCAACCCAACCAGACAGACACAGACTTCAACTGAGAGTTAGGACTGCAGAAAGAACAGCTGCAACCAGGCTGCTTTCCATTGAGGACCTGTATGCTGCACAAGCGAGAAAATAACTACAGACCCCTCACATCCTTGACATAAACTGTTTCAACTTCTTCCCTCGACGCTATAGGGCATTGCATACCAAAACAACCTGTGTGCATGTGTGTCTGTGCTGATATATACACAAAGTATATGTATGTACAGTTGTGCTCATAAGTTTACATATCCTGGCAGAATTTATGATTTCTTGGCCATTTTTCAGAGAACATGAATGATAACACAAACACTTTTCTTTCGTTCATGGTTAGTTGTTGGCTGAAGCCATTTATTATCGATCAAGTGTGCTTATTCTTTTTAAATCATGATAACAGAAACTATCCAAATGACCCTGATCAAAAGTTTACATACCCCAGTTTTTAATACGGTGTATTTCCCCCTTTAACATCGATGACAGCTGGAAGTCTTTTGTGGTATGTGTGGATGAAGCTCTTTATCTTCTGCCCAGACTTCCTGGCAAACCTTCCTGTAAATTCTTGGGCTGTCTTGCATGAACTGCACGTTTGAGATCTCCCCAAAACGGCTCAATGATACTGAAGTCAGGAGGCTGAGATGCCCACTCCAGAAAATTCACTTTATTCTGCGGTAGCCAATGACAGGTCGACTTGGCCTTACGTTTAGGATCATTGTCATGTTGGAATGTCCAAATATGTCCAACGCACAGCTTCCGGGCCGATAAATGCAATTTTTCCTCCAGTATATGTTGATAACAGACTGCATTCATCTTGCCATCAATTCGGACCAAAACGATCCACCTCCGTGTTTCACAGTAGGAATGGTGTACTTTTCATCATAGGCCTGTTGACCCCTCTCCAAATGTAGCGTTTATGGTTGTGGCCAAAAAGCTACTCCAAATGGCTTTGTGCCAGAAGGTTTGAGGCTTATCTCTGTGCTGTTTGGCGTATTGTAAGCACGATGCTTTGTGGCATTTGCCTAGTAATGGCTTTCTTCTTCCAGCGACTCGACCACGCAGCCCATCCTTCTTCCAGTGCCTCCTTATTGTGCATCTTGAAACAGCCACACCACGTTTTCAGAGAGTCCTGTATTTCCCCTGAAGTTATTGGTGAAGTTTTCTTTGCATCCTGAACAAATTTCCCAGTGGTGGTGGCAGAATTTTTGTGGATCTATCTAATCATGGTTTAGTTTCAACAGAACCCCTTGTTTTCCATTTCTTGATTAGTGTTTGTCTACTGCTGATTGGCATTCTCAGTTCCTTGGATATCTTTTTATATCCCTTTCCTGTTTTATACAGTTCAACTACCTTTTTCCGCAGATCTTTTTACAATTCTTTTGCTTTCCCCATGACTCAGAAGCCAGAAACGTCAGTGCAGCACTGGATGAAAAATGCAAGAGTCTGTCAGGAGTCCAGGAACTCATTGACTTTTTACATACACACACTAATTACAAGCAAACAGAATCACAGGTGAGGATGGTTACCTTTAATAGCCATTCAAACCCCTTTGTGCCAACCTGTGTGCATATTATCAGGCCAAAACCACCAGGCTGTGTAAACTTTTGATCGGGCTCATTTGGATATCAGTTGTCATTATGATTTTAAAAGAGTAAACACAGTTGATCGATCATAAATGGCTTCAGCCAACCACTAACCATGAGTGAAAGAAAAGTTTTTGTGTTATTCATATTCTCTGAAAAATGGCCACGAAATCATAAATTCTGCCAGGGTATGTACACTTATGAGCACAACTGTATATACGTGCATGTCCACCTTAAATAAATGGCACCATACTAGTTTGCTTAATCTATCTAAGCCAATAATTTCCCAGAGTTTTTCCCCTTCTCCATAATTCCTAACATCTTCATGCAATAATAATCAAAATGCTATCTTGCTAATATTTGAATAGATTGTATTTAGCAGAGACCAAACACCTCTATTGATCTGGAAAGAGATAGAAATTGTAATACAGCTGTCCTAATTAAGTTTCTCCTCTGAAAATGTATCTTAACTCAGTTCTTTTTCAGGTGACATGTAAGCCACAACAGGGTATCACATCAATGCTTTTGGAGTCCTATAATGAAGAGAGGGGACTTGCCTTTGGGCTTAAAAGAGACTCCTGCATTCCTCCATGGAAGTGAAGTGGGCGAGTTCTGGGGGAGGCCACGCCCCCACTGCCAATCCCAACCCCGTCAGAGGGAGCCTCCCCCAAAGCCAGGGGCCTGCCCCAAACACTTACTCGGCTGGCTGGCGGCAGGGAGGTTGGGGATGCCGTGAGGGGCTATCCCGGCAGGTCCGGGAGGCTGCTGCCCTGGGAGATTCATCGGCTGTCCCATGGGGGCCCCGAGCCCACTCATACCGGCCAGGGAGGCTCCCTGAGGACGGGAAGCCATCCCCATGGCCCCTGGTCCTGCGGGAGGGCCCCCCGTCAGGTTCTGCAGCGCATTCATTGGGTCTGGGGAGAAAAACAGGCAGGTGAATCTGCTCCGCCAACTCAGCGGAAGAGTCAGCCCCTGCCCCGCCCCCGTCTCAGACCTCCCCCCGTCTTCCGTGAAGCAGAGGTCTGATTCTGGGCACCCCGGCGGAGCCTGAAGGGCTGTCAGAATGCCCTTTCCAGAGGCCATTCCCTCTGGGCAGCCCAGGGGACCTGCCTCCTCAGCGAGAAAAGGCCCTGGGGGGAAGCGTCCCTGCAAAGGAAGGGGACAAAGAAGAGCGGCTCCTTACCGCTGACCGAGGCCAGAGACTTCTTGTTGTCTAGGAAAGAAAAACGGTAACAGTTATACACAACAGATTTAGGGAGCGACCCGACTGGGCCAACAGGGCTTCTGCTGGGGATTATGGGTCTTTTTCCTTTAAGGCAGGAATCCTTTTACATCTATAGCTGGAAATGCAGAAAGGGGGGGGGGCTGGAGCCCCTAAAGTCTTGGGCTCTTCCTCCAACGGGCTTCTAGGCCCCAAAGTCCCCTTTGCGACGATGTTTGGGGGCTCAGAGTTAATGGCAATATCCCTCAATTCCTGGAAAAGAAAATTAGACCAACCGAAATGAGCTGAATAATTATATTACCGCTCTTATTCCATAGGAGCCTCAAAGGTAAAGAAGAGAGTATCCCACCCCCTCAGAGTTGCGGTAGTCCTTCAAAGAGAGGACTTGGCACAGTGGGCCTGGCTTTCTCATCCCTCATTTTGAGCTCCCTTTCTTCCTTCCTTCTTTCCCTCCCTCGAGCTCAGCATAACACAATTCTCCTTTGGGTTTCCGGGAACCGAGATCAGGCCCAGCGACTGCTTTCTCAGCTGTTGGGAACCTGGCTCCAAATTCGAACTGCAGAAATGCTGGGTGGGGGTGAAGACTTGAGGTGAGCTCTCCCTACTCTGGCTCCTTCCCACGCAGGGCCAAGGCAGCCAGGAGAAACGTCCTTAAGCCGGTCCACAGAAACACCAAGGGCTACTTACGAATGTCCCGGAAATGGATGATGAGCCTTGCCACGAGAGAGAGATATTCGTCCTAGAATTAGAAAGGGGAAATGCACTGTGCAAGGCAGCGGGGGGCGGGGGGGGGCAGGCGAGGGCTGATGGGACTTCTTGTCCCATCCGGCTGGGCCTGCAGGCCTTTGTGGGGCAGGGGAGAAAGGCCCCAGGAGTGGGAGGGTGGCCCAGGCAGAAGCAGCCACCACCGGAGCCGAAGGGCTTGGGTGGGTGGGTTCCGGGGATCTCTCCCTGGATCCAGTGGAACCCGGCTGTTGCTCTCCTATCTCCTCGATCCATGGGGCTCAGAAACCGTCACAAACCCTCCTGCGCTGCCTTGCGGTCCAGGACCTCTCTGGCCCAAGAGCTGGGAGGGGCAGATCCCCCATTCACTTCAGGGTGCAGTGACGGAGGGGGAGCCGGCTCAGCTGGAGGAAGGGGGGGAGGGCGCAGCGTCCCTGCTCTGACCCTTCGGCTTCCCAGCCGCTTGCAGTCTCCCTGCTCCTACTCGGGCACCTTCACCACTAGGCCGGGCTTCCTTTTGGCCTGGGGGTGGGGAGGAGAACCTCCTCCCCTTAAGAAGCATTTCCAACATCCAAGCGGAGCCTCCTCTCCAGAAACATCCATCCCAGCCTACACAGACCTCCCCTTCCTCCGTGGCCCCAGGCCAAGAGCAGGGTGCCCCCAGAGGGAACTCCTGTGTGGGGGCCGCCTCGTCTTTAGGGCCACCAGCCAGCCAGCTTCTCCTTGCAAGGGCCACCCTCCCACCTGTTTCCCCCCTCCACCCAGCAAGAAAAGGAACTTCTTACCCGCGTTTTGGCCTTCATGAAAACATGGTTTTCCATTTCTTTGCTGGTCTTAGTATGAGCCACGCCAGCCTTCCTCATGGCCTCTTCGCTGCAAGAAACAAAGAGGCAAGCTCAGCTTTGCAGGGGCTCCTGGGACAACTCCCCAATATTTAGGAATGGGCCTGGCGCTTCCCTGGCTTCTCTTCATGCCAGAAAACACTCTGAAAACAGCTTTGGATTTTGTTCAGTCGTTTTTTTCCCCCCAGGAAACTCCTGGGAAGACTGGTGGCCAAAGCCCTTCGCTGCCGGTCAGGGCTTGGATGTGAACCGAGGCGGCTCTTTCCTGAGTGGATGCTGGGCTTCTCCTGCACCAGCCCCATTCGCTTCCCCGGTAGCACAGCCCAGGATCCAGACCCAGCCAGTTGCCTTGCAGAAGGATGCTTCCTTGCCTAAAAGCAGCAGCAAGCAGCTGGGACAGCGCCGGGCATTGCAGTTGCACCGGCTCCCTTGGGCTACAAAGCCCCTGCATCCACTTTTCTTCACGGGGATAAAAGTCTTCTGTGGCAGGAGCAATTCTGGGTCAGGGCATCTCAATGGGTCGGATCGGAGAGGGGGATCAAAGGACCCCCCCTCCCCCCATCAAAGCTGAGGATCCTGGACTCCACCAGTTAGATAGAGGGCTTTACCGCGAGTGTCTTCATTTACCGTTTCAGGTTGTGGTTTCCATATACTACTAGGGCCAGCTTCGAAGGGCGAGAGACACAAATATAGGCAAATTAACACAGGATCAGAAAGGCCTGCACAACTAAGCGCAAACCATTCAGACTTCGTGTCATGGTGGACGCATCAGGCTAGAAACGGAGAGGCGGTGAGTTCTAGTTCTGCCTGGGCCAGTCACTTTCTCTCAGCCCTACCAAGGAGGCAAGGGGAAACTCTTTCCAAGGAAACTGCAAGGATGAACCCAAGCAGTCTCAGAGACTCAGACATGGTGCAACAGAAGGAGGAAAAAAACCCCATAAACATCAAAGGCTGGGATCCCCTTGATTACTGCCACTGTTGTTTGCTGCTACAGGAGAAAATATTCTGTGTTGATTATGACAAATTTCAGGGACTGCTCAGTTTGAATGGGGTCCCAGCAACTGAAGCAACCAAAGATGTAGCAGGAATGTGCTTTTCTTTTATGCGCTGCATCAGCTTCCCAGGGGAAAGTAAAAAACAAAAATCAATTTTTATTGTGGTAAGCCACCCAAACTAGCCTTTTTTTGTGTTTTGAGGGGAATGTGAAAAATACCAGATTTATATATATAAAAAAAAAAAACGGAGTCCTGACAGGTCTAACTCCTTCTTAGTATAGCCAGCTGAATAAGAAGCACTTGAGGGTCAAACTCATCTCATCTGCAAATAAATTTAAATGAAACATAGGTCTTATCTCCCACTTTCACCCCACAAATCTGATTATGGCATCGGAGTTCTACTATTGCAATGCTTCTGTGGCTGGACTGAACGATAAAGGCGACACAAGAGGCATCTGCTTGGCGCCGCTTGAAGGGGACACGAATCACGGCTCTTGAACCAGAGCGGCATTCGGCCTATAAATATCCTCCATCGCCTTCAGAAAATGAAAGGCGAGGTGAGTTTTGCAAAAGGAACCCCAAAGCTTTGGGCACATCTAGGGACCCAACGGCCCGGGGAAGTTTAATCTGACTTCATTGTAAAACAGTCCTGGGGGGGGGGGGCACAGACCCCCCCCCAGGACTGTTTTACAATGAAGTCAGATTTGGGGGGTTTGCACAGAAGCAGGAAGGCGCCTTTGGGTCCCCAGGAGACCCGGCCTAAAACGTGGCTGGCTGGGGGATCCTGGGAGGGGAAGGCCGCCAGGCTTACAGGGCCCAGGTTGGAGACCCCCGGCCCACCACACGATTTCCGGGCAAGAGTTCGCAACGGGCCGCCTTCCGTCCGCCTGCATTGGAGGTTATCCGGGCAGGCCTGTCTCCGAGGCGGGCCAGGCCGCTCCGGCCCCCACTTCCCACCTGGCTCTCCCTGCAGGGAAGGCGCGGGGGGGGGGGGAAACAGGGGGGGGCTTTCCCTGTCGGACCCCCCCCATCCGAGGGCGGGCGGTGGGGGGGGGCTCTGCGTTGCCTCCCACCGGGGCCCGGCAGGCAGCTGCGTGGTGGCGGGGGGTCCTCGGGCGGGCCGGCCGCCTTTCCCCAGAGGTGGGGCCACTGGGGGCTCCCCGAGCCGCTCCGCAGGCCGCCCCCCCGCCGGCCCCGCACTCACATCTGGCTGACCAGCTTCTGCCGGAAGTTGGCGCTGCGCCAATCGCTATCCTCCATCCCGCTGCTCTGCCGCCGCCGCCGCCGCCACGGGCGCCCGAGCTAGAGCGCCTCCTCCTCCTCCTCCTCCTCTTCCGCAGGGCCGCCGGAAGTGGTCGGGGGGGGTGGGGGGCGGCGCGCGGCATGCCGGGAAGCGGAGTTCCGCAGGGGCGCTTCCTGCCCGGCCTATTCCGGGGTGGGTTGAAGGGCTTTGGCGGCGCTGGGCGGGACCGCAGGGGATTCCTTCCCCTTCTCCGGCCAGGTAGGGGCGGCGAGGCCGTTGGGCTGTGGCGGGAGAGAGGCCGCGGGGGTGGGGGCGGCGGACTTCGCCCGGGAGGCTGGAGGGAGCCGGGAGAGCCTCCTGCGGGGAAGCCCCTTCACAGGGAGCTGCCGAGCAGGGGTCCCAGGCGCCCGGGAAGCCCCGCCGAGAGGTCGGGAGCCGGAGGAGGGAGTCGGGGGGTCGGGGAAATCTCCGTTGGAAGGAAAAACCCCCCCCATTCATGGGGGGTCCCTGCCCCCCCCCCAATTCCAGCGGGCCCTCTTTGTGCAGCTGGGTGCAGACACCGCCTGGGGCTCTTTGGCTCTGCTGGGCTGAAGCGGGGTCGGGGGGTGGGGGTCGGGAGGGCTTCCCCGGTGCTCCCGAGGGAGAGGAGGCGCCCGGGAACAGCCCAAGGAAAGCCCCCCATTGGTGCTGGGGGCGGGCGGGGGGGGGGGATCAAAGGCCAGCCGTACACACAGTCTGCAGGTGGGACGGAGCCAGGAAGACCCACGGCCCCCAAAGCCGGCTCGAAAGGCAGGCCAGTCCGCTTGGCCACTGAGCCAGGAGCAGCTCTGTCTCCCCGCAAGCGTTTCAGGTGCTTTTAATCCACGCTATATTCTTCCCAGCAACGGGACATCGTCTCTCAGCGCTAAACGTTGCCAGGCATCTCATCTGCATTTACAACAAACTTTATTTTCATCAAATGCCGCTCTTTGCATTCAGCAGAACATCTTAAACTCCACATTCTTGCAAAACTTTCTGAATCCATATCTATTCACTGCATCATGCTTTAACACAGGGGTCTCCAACCTTGGCCACTTTAAGCCTGGAGGACTTCAACTCCCAGAATTCCCCAGCCAGCAAAGCTCTGGCATTCCCCAGCATAGCTGGCTGGGGAATTCTGGGAGTTGAAGTCCTCCAGGCTTAAAGTGGCCAAGGTTGGAGCCCCCTGCTTTAACACACAGGTGTCAAACTCGTGACACACTGGCCATGCCCACCCGCGTTTTAGTGAAGGGAACAAAATTGCAATACGTGATGTGACATCATGAATTTGACACTGCTGCTTTAACCTCTCTCAATATATACCATCTAAATTGCAACCTTCAACAGCTTCATTTTTACACTTCATTTTCATCCTCTTTAAAGCCAATCATATCGTTATCTACCTCTTGACATCAACAGCATTACACCTCCTAAAATATTATTCTCAGCCATTCCCCAGCAGGAAATGTTTGGGACAGAACCAGGGAGAAACAGCCACCAAAAGCTTTTTCATAAGAGTAGTTCTGTTTCAGAAGGTCATATATTTGTTTGTTATGTTTCTGAACTGTCCACCTCCATTAAAGAGGGACTTTGGACAGTGTACAGAAAAACATTAAAATGTAAAACAGTGTATATAAAAGTTGAAAAAAATTAAAGGGAGGCAAGGAATTTAAATTAGTTGAAAGGTGAAGGGAGGATTAACCAGCCCACGGGTGAGTACTCCCCAGGGCTACCCCTGCAAGGCCACAGAGCCACAGGTTCACTCCTTTTTGGAAGGAGAGAGTTGGGGGCTGCCTCACTGCCAGGGTAAGAATATTCCACAGGTGGGAGCAATGGCAGAGAACGGCCCTCTTCCTAGACTGTGCCAGTGGGAGTTCTTTAACTGTCAGGACCTGCGACATACCTTCCCTGCCTGACCAGATGGGATGGGCTGATGTAATGGGACAAAGACAGTTTCATAGTTAGCCTAGGCCTATGCCACATAGGGCTTTGTGGGTCACAACCAACACCTTGAATTTGACCCGGAAGCAAACCGGCACCCAATACAGCTCATGGAGCACAGTTGTTATGTACACTTCTTTGGATCCCTAAAATTGGCTGTGTGGCCATCTTTTGTACCAGCATGGGGTAGCTGCATATAGAGCATATTGCAATAGTCCAAGCGGGAGATGACCAGGACATGAGTGATCGAGGGAAGGTCCTCCCTATCCAGGAAAGGGCATAATTAGCCCACCACATGGAGCTGAGAAAAGTCCCTCTTGGCCATAGCTGCCACCAGCTTTTGAGGGGGAACTATCAGTCCAGGAGCACCCACGGATTACACATCATGTCTATATGGGCTAGTGGAATCTCATCTAAGACCAAAGTTAATAAACTCCTGGATGCAAAGGGCCTATAGCCACTACATCTTACCAGAGCTTGGCTGAAGGCTATGGTTATCCATCCAGGCCCCCACAGCCTCCAGGCACTACAAAAGGGTGTCCACTCACTCCATCTTGGGTATATAGCTGGGGATCATCAGCATACTATTGGTACCTCATCCTGTCTTGATGGATGATCTCACACGATGGTTTCATGTAGATGTTAAACAGGAGTAGGGGGACCCCTGTGGCACCTCACAAAGCAGGGGCTGAGAGCTGGGCCTCCTGCTCCCTATCAACACTGGTTGGGATTGACCTTGGAGGAAAGAGGTGAACCAGTGCAGAACTATGCATCCCAACCCGAACTCCCTAGGTTGGCCCACCAGGCTACCATAGTTGATGGTATTGAAAGCCATCGAGAAGAAGAAAAAGGATGGATGCAACACGTCGATCCAGCTCCAGCCAGAGAACATCCACAAGTGTCACCAATGCCATTTTGAACCATATCCAAACCTGAAACCTGACTAAAAAGTGTGCAGATAATCCATCTAAAAACTATTTAAAATAGTTTGGTGCTCTTCCAGAAGCAAGCAACACCTAAATGGCTGTTACAGAATGCTGATCAGGTCTCTGCTTTCTCCCTTGACCAGGCCAAAAGGGCTGGGGACAGGGTCCATTGACTGAAGATGAAAGCAGCCTAATGTCGTCCCCAGACTCCCATCCTCCATGAGGGGTCCTAGGTTGTGCAACAAGGGTTGTGTCAATGGAAGGGGGGCAAATGACACCAGAACAGCTACAGATAAGTTTAGGCTGCCTCTGAGGCAAGATGGGGTGAGCCAAAGACTATACAAGTGGTCGAGAAACCGTCTTCTGTGTGAAGGGCCACCAGCCTTCCACGCCTTTTTAGAGCCACTAAGCCCATTGATGGCCCGGTTTGGGGGGGTGGGGGGTAGCATTGGGCTGCCTTTTTGTGCCAAAAGGGTTGGGTTCCATCCATCATCTCTTTTTTTTGTAGATAAGAGCCTGCAATTTGTGTTCCTGGCAGTGGGCACAAATGAAAGTTTTGAATGAGGAAATCAGCCTAACTGAAACCAGTTGTTCCTCGGGGAACCCCAGTTGCTGTGCCCTCGGATTCTCAAGGAGGTTCTGCCCAGGATGGCGGGTCAGCAGGAGGAGACGGAGCCGCTCAAGATCCCCCTGGAGCCTTTCGCCAAGAAGTGCTCCAGCAAGACCTACCACAGCGCTGGGCACTCCCAGACCCTGCTGAGTGGCCTGGGGGCTCTCCGGGACCGTGGCATTCTCTTTGATGTTGTTCTGCACGTAGAGGGGAAGACCATTGAGGCTCATCGCATCCTCCTAGCCGCATCCTGTGATTACTTCAGGTCTGTGCCTATGACGAAACTAATACTGAAATTGCTGGATAGGAGCTAGGAGCAGTGGAAAAGTAAAACACGGCTGTTTGAAACTGGCAAACTCCGACTTGATGATTAAGCAAAGCTGCATCTCATTGGATCATTAGATTTAATCAAATTTATCAAACCAAATTTAGTGTTTGTCTTCCCGCTTCTTACCTGTAATCCTGTTTCTGACTATTTAAGAAGTATTTGTAAAACATGGATGTTGCTTGGTCCTTTGCTTTGGCAAGGTTAGGTCTGTGTCTTCCTTTACAAAATTCTGCAGTGGAATCAGTCAAAGGGAGAATGAAGAAGCTCTTTTCAGTGCATGGCCTGTCAGCCTATAATTAGACAGCCGTACCTAGAAAGAACTTCAAGTAACTAAATCAGTGTATCCTCTTACACAAACAGCTCTCACAACGGGCACCTAAAATTGCAGTGTGCTTTCCTGAAGTTAATTGTGGCACAATTCCCTGGAGGAAACAGCATTTGCCCTCTTCCGTCTCCAGTTGTGCGGGCTGTAGTTGTGCCTCCCTTTAATCTGTAGCTTGGGAGTGTGGGGGCTCAGTGATTATAAATGCTGAGCTTGTCAGTTGGAAAGCTGACAGCCCGGGTTTGAGACCTGAATGCTACACTATGGGGTGAGCTCCCATTACCCGCCCCAGTTCCTGCCCATCTAGCAGTTCAAAAGCATGCAAGTGCAAGTAGATAAATAGGTACCACTTTGGTGGGAAGGTAACAGCATCCCATGTGCCTCACTGTGTAGTCACGCTGGTCACACGACCACGAAAATATCTTCAGATAATGCTGGCTCCCTCGGCCAAGAGATGGAGATGACTACCACCCCCCAGGGTTGGATATGACTGGATTGGAGAAACCTTTATCTGACCTTTTAATCTGTGGACTAAATATGCTCCCTTCCTCCCATGACTTAGTCTCCTGGTCTTCCCTCCCCACCGCAATCCTGGCAGTTCTTCCCTTATGCGCCACAGTCTGCCCCCCTTAAAATGCGAGGGGTGGGATTCCAGATTCTTGAGAACCTCACCTGCACAGAATAGAGCCAAGCTTTCACTTCCTGTAACGGGAGCGTTGGGCACCTGTTCATGCAACCTGGCTTTGAATGGAGTTCCTGGCTCAGGTTCTCTTTGCCATGCACTAAGGCCGTGGATTCTGGGCCTTTGTCCTGTGTCTCGGTCATCCTGGTCTCACTCGGGCTCCCGGCTATGGCTTAGCGAAGATGACGACTCAGGGAGAAGTCCCAGAAGTGGCAAGCGGGTTGTGTGCGGAGGAGGCGACGTTG